GCCCTAATCCTCTTTCGTAAATAAAATATTAGAAATACTAATGCAAATAAATAAATAAATAAATGAAAAACAAACAAAAAAATGATATTTTGTCCACCAGCTGTACCATAATAAGTGAAAATTATTACAATATTAACATTTTCCTCTAATCTCATATATGTTGTTGTTTATTTGTATTTCTAAATATGTGGTCCTATCTTTAGCCATGAGATGTATGTCTATCATCAAAACAACAAACATCCTGGTTTATTGTGCAATAAATGTAAAGTTTGCAATGAAGGATGACTAATTTTTTTACAGCTATCAGCCAGTAATCTCCTCGCTGTGCACTATAGTCTTCACAGATGGGGATTATTTACAGAGAGTGCATGCATGCAGCTGGTGTAAAGGAAACAGTCAAGCYGGTCATCCCATTCTTGCAGATTCACAGTATTAGTTGGACGTCAAAGGGTTAACTTTTGTTCTACAGTGCAGGTCCAGTTCTCTGTCCACTCTGGTTCGCAGTCAAACAGACCTCCTCTGGCCCTGTGCCTGTGCCCTGTTCACGATATCCTGGTACATCTTGGACCGGAGGAACCGTGGGTACGAGTCTTTCTCCATGAGGCTGTAGATTTTACCCTGGACCTCGTTCAGGCTGGTTGGAGACGGATCTGCCAGGCTCTGCTTTGTCTTCTCCCTGGTGCGGTAGTCGATGTTTACCTGTCAGGCGGGAGACAAAGAGATGCGAGAAAAAGTGGATTTTATTCACTCTGTGTTGAATTTATSTTTTATAAAACGCTGAAACAACGGGCTCTTTTCAAACAACCACCTTCAGACACAAAGTTACATAAGATTTAAGCTCTATAGAATGTGTACGCAAAAGTGCTGATCCTCACAACAGATTACGCAACAATACACTTGTGCTTTTGATTCTGCCACTTTATTTGATAACGTTAACGACTATGTTCCAACTATGAGCTCTGTTATATGCAAGATGAAAAGCAACACAACTTTAATTTAACTTCTGAAAAGGCTGAAGGTAATGAGAATTTTTAAGAATAATTTACTCAAAAAAATTTGTTTGCTAATTTTGAGGCAAATGCACTTCAAAGAAGCTCAATAAAGAAATGGTTTTATTTAAAAATGTGGTTTTAATTGTGTGAATGCTTATTGAAACTTAATAGAGCTGTCTGCAACAGATTTAAAACTCTTCAAAATGTTCGTGGATATTTTCTGCACTTTTTTCAGATTTTTTATTTGTTCTAATTTCAGCTTCATTTAGTCTKTATTTTGCTGATTTCAGCATATTTCTGCTAATTTAGCTATCATTCTGACCTTTTCTGCTTTTGTCCTGATGTATCTCAGTAATCCAGGTAAAAAAAATCAAAAAGAAAAAAAATCAGTAGGTCCTCTGGATGG